TATTTGTATTACAACTATTTATGGGTAATCAATTAACCTGAGCTATAGATAAACAATAATTTAAAGAGAAGTGTGTCTGTATGGGGGTATGAGTGACCAAGAGTGATCGCTGATGCAAGGTAAATAAAATATATATTAATTCAATAAACAGAAACCATGAAAGATGTAAAACCTATTTTTAGGCTATAAAACTGGACGAAAGGAACCGTAAATATATTAATTGAACAAAATGAAAATCAAGAACTATGAAATATATTATCAGACTGTAAAACTGGATAAGTACTGAAAACCAAGATATGTAAAATGTATAATTAGACTAAAAGAAACTGGATAAGCACTGACATAGAACAAAAGTATGGGAATCAATGAATACGTTCGTCATAAGCCCCTGAGCAAGAGTGATCGCTGATGCAAGGATAACCATAAATGTATTAATTCAAAAAGTTTAAAATCATAAAAGATAAAACCTATTATTACACTATAAACCTGGACGAGGGAGACCATAAATATATTAATTCAATGAACCGAAAGTCAATAAATGTAAAATATATTATCAGGCTGTAAAACTGGATAAGTACTGAAAACCAAGATACAGTGTATAATTAGGCAGTAAAACTGGTTAACACTGAAATGTATTAATTCAATAAACTGAAAATCATGAAAGATGAAACCTGTTAATAGATTATAAACCTGAACGATGGAAACCGTAACGGTTTAACTCGGGCTTGATGCGTTTTATATTGATGGCCTCAAGAAGTTTCTTGGTTTTCTTCTGGTGATGATTTACAACAAGGGTTCTTGTTAGGTCTCATGGGATTGTATGATGTCCGTTGTTAATAATATGCTCTGCTACGGCTGAGGGATTGTTGGAAGTTATTGACTTGTGCTCGTTTATTTGAACATCTAGTGGACGCTTCGTTTCACCTACACACTCTTCGTTGAACGAGCAGGTTATTTCCTAAATACATCCTTTGGGTTGTGGGGGTTTGTTTTGTTTTACCATTAGCTTGTAATAAATTCTGTATGGTTTCCCCGATTGATAAGGTGACGTCTATGCCCACTTCTTGTTTCATCAACCGTCTTAACTGGTAAGATATTTTGTCGTGAAACGGGATGGTTATTCTGATGCCTGGTGGTGGTGATAACACCATTAAACAGTTGGGTAGGGTAACTGTTATTGTTTATGAAAACGTTCATTAAATGCTCTAATCCCGCGTGTAAATGTTCTTCATCACATATCTTTGTGGCGCGTCTGGTTAGAGTGGTGATGATGGATTTCTTTATTTGATGTGAATGATTTGAATTATAGTGGATGCATTGATCAGTGTGAGTTGGTTTACTATAAACAGTAGTGGAGAATTTGTTGTCAGATTTAGTCACTAAGACGTCAAGAAATGGGAGACTGTCATCCATTTCTGTTTCCATTGTGAATTTTATCCTCGTTTGTCGACTGTTCAGATGTTGGAGTAGCGTTTCTGGCTTGTCGTTTTGATTGGGGACCACAAATGCATCACCAACCTTGCGACACCAACAAAGGGGGTTTAATGGGGGAAGTCTGTAATGCATCAGTTTCTTAACTGGTCATAAATACTTCTGACAGTAGTGGCGATAGTGGGTTACCCATAGGCAGGCCATGTATTTGTTGATAATATTCATCACCCCATCTAACGTAAGTGGCGGTTATACAGTGGCCTGATCACAAGACTTAGAACTAAAGATTTATTAATTACCGACCATAAATATAAGGCAGTGAAGTGTGAATGTGGCCAAATTTTGACCGTTAATCATGTCTTCATTACATGCAATAAATTGGAAGATAAAAGACTCCCTGTAAGATGCCAAACTTCAATATACCCTCCAAAATGTCCTCTTCCCCTGTTGGAATATGTCATATAAAATTTATGAAGCGATCTCAAATTCATAGCAGAATATGGGTCTTTCCGATGGTATATTTGTAGGATTAGAAACTTTATGAGCTTTTCCTAAAATGTTGAAATGGATTGGTTTGTCAACAGGTCTGTCCAGGAAAATTTTCTGTTCATTTTTCGGAATTTGAAGGCCAGTCGCTAATTTTGTCAATTCCTTCAAAAGATAGATGCTATAAACAGCAGATCTATTCCTAAGAATAATAATAATAATAATAATAATAATAACAATAATAATAATAATGAGTTTTTGTATAGCGCAGCTTATCCATAAAAAATGTTCAAGGCGCTTGGTAGTTGTAGAAATGTTTTCAGTTTTGACTTAAAAGTTCTGAGATTATCATATCGCCTTAAATCAATATCAATTGCGGTCCAGGGTAATGGTGCAACATTGACCTGTACCCGAAGGTCTTCATATTATAGCGTGGATTGTAAAGTCTCAGTTAGCTACTTGATCTGGGGTTGCGTATAGGAATGTAATTGTGTATCAGTTCTTGAAGGTATGAAGGGGATGAATTGTTGACACATTTAAACACTGTACATAGTAACTTATATTCAATGCGACATTTGACATGGAGCCGGTGCAATCCTTTCAGAATAGGTGTGATATGGTTGGAGACAATGATATAATTCTGGCCGCTGTGTTTTGGACACACCGTAGCTTGTTTAATAGATTTTGTGGAATACCCCATAGCAAATCATTGCAATAATCAAGTATGGAAAGGACCAAAGCACGAACTATAATGTATGAGCAGTTTCATGACTAATCAGGTGTTGAACTTGACGTATAGCACAGGAATACGCCCAAGGTTTTTGGCTGAATAGCAGAAAGCTATATCTGAGTCTCCGATCGTTATGGATTGTTCATGCATGTTTGACCTCTGATGTTGACTGCCTATTAAAATCGTCTCAATTGAGTCTCCGATCGTTATGGATTGTTCATGCATGTTTGACCTCTGATGTTTACTGCCTATTAAAATCGCCTCAATTTTGTCATCATTAAGTTTCAGCATATTAGTGGTCATCCATGATTTTATTGATTTAATACATGCAGTTATTTTTTCGAATTCCTGCAAAGATGCTGATGGGTCAAAACTTCCAATTATCTGAGTCTCATCTGCGTATGCGTGATGATCTAGTGGGTGACGGTCAATGATGTTAAATACAGATGCAGTATAGAGCACAAACAACACTGGGCCCAAAACAGAGCCTTGTGACACACCATGTTTTAGCAGTACTAGTGGTGATACTGTCTTGACTATTAACACTTTCTGCGATCGATTTTGTAAATAGGATTTTGTAAATAGGATTTTAGCCAACTCAGTGCAGCGTCTGTGATACCAAACTGACTGGAGAGGGTCCACCAATATATCGTGATTTATAATATCAAATGCTGCTGATAGGTCGAGCAAAACCAAGGCTGTACATATTCCATCATCTATCGCTACTCGAAGATCATTTGCTAACTACCCTTATTAAGGCGGTCTCTGTAGAATGATTTTGCTTTATACGCTGATTGAAATTTGTCTAACAGTCCACGTGTGGTTAAGTGATTAATAAGTCGCTTATTTTCGGCTTTCTCAATGACTCTTGGTGTTATCAGTTTATATCCGAATGTTCTTATTTCTGAATGATTAGAAGCGCTGAAACATGGATTACGTGAAAGTAAAATTATGACCAATGAAGATTCAGAATCAATTCTACAAATAGCAGATTTTGTTCTTCACAACAATGAATTTGAATTTTCTAGTATGTTGTATAGACAGATATCTGGAACCGCCATGGGAACTTCGTTTGCTGTGACATATGCTAACATATATATGTCATACTTGGTGAAACCCTACTATGAACCATTACCTAATAAACCAGATATTTCAGGCAGATTCGTCAATGGTCAGATATTCATATAGTGTAGGCCATCGAAAGTATAACAAAAACGAAACGAAATAAAGATCTGTATTTTAATCAGATTGTTAATTTCTTAGATGTGAAAGTTGTCAAAGAAAGAAATAAGTTAGATACAAATCTATAATCCAAGAAAACAGATTGCCATCATTATCTTCCACCATCAAGTTGTCATCAAAAACACACCTTTAACGCTATCCCTTACAAAACGGATTTGTAGCAAAGATAGCTGGACTAAATCAAATCTAATAATTTTAGGACCCTATCTTAAACGGGATGTGGTCACAATAGCCCTAAGCCATAATGGCCAAAATTGATTTGGGTCAAACATCCAAACAGTTTGGTTATAACGGCAAAACAATTTACTCATAACGGCCAAACATTAATAATTTAATATAAAACAATATAATTTATCAAATATTACTTACCTGTGATAAAAATAATAATCATTCGACAAAAATAACAATCATTCAAAAAAAAAAACCAATCATTCGACAAAAATCACATTTCACTCATAACATAATTAAATGACTAAAGACCGAAGAATTTTAGACACAAGTTCACGAATGACAAAAATTATGGATAACAGCAAAATAATAATAGCAGAGAGAAAGAACCGCACAATTGGCAATATTTTGAAAGAAATTCGAGGCTATCATACAGATTCAGAAAGTGATTATACAATGTAGATACAGTACATAATTACATTTATGTATAACCAGGATTTTCCTGTGTGGTTTACACATGTCAATGGTGCGTGGCACAATACAAGGTCTGAGTACTGTGTACAAATTGACATGCGCTTTAAATAACACTTGACAGTTTGAGTTTAAAATAAGAATAGATGTAGGTCGTAGGGCCGTTGTCTGGGCAAAGGTGTCAGGCAGGTGCAAAGACTGATTTTCGTCATTTGTTTTTTTATTTAGGAGTTTAAGTATTATTCCTGTTCATTTAAGGAAACAAATTCTAGTCTCAGGTTTATCTTTAATGGGAAATAAGATCATCTAATTTCAGGTTTAATCCCTCATGATGTTCGAGACAAATTCGAAAAGGCTATAGATTACTGGATTTCAGCGAAGAATGATGATATAATAACAAGTATTGTCTTTATTTGATGGCCAGTCCTCGTCTATCTATTGCAACGATGAAAATTATTTTAAAACAACTTACCGTCGGGACACATATCTTGGTGAGATGTTCGCATTTGAGAAGTAATATTAGGTACTGTACAGTTATCATTGGCTTCTAATTTCCCGAAACAATCAATAGCTCTCCTGGTATAACTACAATAAAATTACACATAGATCTAACTAGGGCCTCATGAAATACCTCCCAACACTGGGCCCAAAACAGAGTCTTGTGGCACAATATGTTTTAGCAGTACTGGTGGTGATACCATCTTGCCGATTAACACTTTCTGCGATCGATTTTGTAAATAGGATTTTAGCCAACTCAGTGCAGCGTCTGTGATACCAAATGGACTGGTGAGACGGTCCACCAATATATCGTGATTTATAATATCAAACGCTGCTGATAGGTCGAGCAAAACCAAGGCTGCACATATTCCATTATATATCGCTACCCGAAGATTATTTACTACCCTTTTTAAGGCGGTCTCTAAAGAATGATTTTGCTTATATGCTGTGTGAAATTTCTCTAATAGTCCACTTGTGGTTAAGTGATTAATAAGTCGCTTATTTATGGCTTTCTCAATATCAGAATGTTGTTATTTCTGAATGATAAGAAGCACTGAATCATTGATTACGTGAAAATAAAATTATGACCAATGAAGATTCAGAATCAAATTCCACAAATAGCAGATTTTGTTCTTCACGACAATGAATTTGAATTTTCTGGTATGTTTTAAAGACAGTTATCTGGGACCGTCATGGGAACTCTGTTTGCTGTGACATATGCTGACATATGCTAACATTATATGTCATACTGGGTGGAAACCTACTATGAACCATTACCTAATAAACCAGATATTTCAGCCAGATTCGTCGATGGTATATGGGCTTTATCTTCTCTCCCACTAGAAGAATGTAATAATTTCGTTTCAACATTAAATTAAATCAACAACATCCAAAGATCAAATTTACTATGGATATAAACAGCAACTCAGTATTAAAATTTCTCAATCTGATTAAAACACAGACCCTATTTCGTTTCGTTTTTATAGTTCAAAATTTCGTTTAACTTGTCTTTACTACACTAGGATCTGGAAGAGTTGTTATCATTGACGTGTTCTGAATGATTTGAGGGATTAGTCAAGGAAACAGTCTGTTACGACGAGCTTTAGGCGTGTTTTGCACGGAACTGTGGGTAACCCACTAGTAACATCAATGGTGATTGGTTAATCAAATGTCTGACGTCATAGGGTCAAAAGTCGCTTGTATGACCTCTGAAGCGAGCTATCGCTACAGTTGGTCAGATCTTCATATAGTGTAGGCCAAACACACCTTTAACACTATCCCTTACAGTGGTGCTCTAAGTATAAAACGGATTTGTAGCAAAGATAGCTGGACTAAATCAAATCTAAAAATTTTGGGACCCTATCTGAAACGGGATGTGGTCATAACAGGCCTAAGCCATAATGGCCAAAATTGATTTGGGTCAAACAGCCAAACAGTTTGGTTATAACGACAAAACAAATTTATTTAGTCATAACAGCTCAACATTAATAATTTGAAATAAAACAATATAATTTACCAAATATTACTTACCTGTGGTAAAAATAACAATCATTCGACAAATATAACAATTCACCCATAACATAATTAATCATTTGAACATTTTTTTCGACTAATCATCCTATCCAATTAAATTTAAATTGCTCTTTGATAATCTGTTTGAAGATGGCTACATAGGATTAGTGGCGATTAACTAGTAACGAATCCCTAATTAGGTACTTCACACCCCTCTAATCTGATTAGGTAATTTGAGCTAGACATAAACCATTTGCTTTTTTACCTAAGGTAAAAGAAACGGCCGTAAATAACCCATTTATACCAGCCAATGACAAAATAATGACAAAATAAAATAAAACATTAAAACGCAGTTCCGTTAGTATTTTTCATATTTACTTTGTCATTATTTTGTTATTGTTTTACCCATAAATATATATTGTAGTATAAAATATAAAAATAACACCGATTTGCTTCTACATGTTTCAATATAATTTCATCGGTGTTATTTTTATATTTTATACTATTCAAAAAAAGTAGGGGATATTTGATTTTTAAGTGTTATTAAAGTCACCTAATGAAACTGACGAAGAAACAAATGACAAAATGAAATGAAGTTCACATTCATCGATTTATTCCAAATGATCGTTAGACTAAGTAAGGCACAGACTGACCATTATAAGGGTAAAATGATACCCGGGGTCAAACAGCAAAGTTACCACAGCATCACAACCAAGTCAGTAACGGGTAAATTCTCCTCTGTTTGCCAAACAAGCATTGATCCGACGTGGCATACTCCTAATGTCATTTTGGTCCAGATTGTCCCATTCCTGTTGCAACGCAGCAGCAAGTTCTTGGACATTGGCAGGACGTTGTTGACGTTGACGTAACCTCTGTCCAAGCATGTCCCAGACATGCTCGATGGGGGAGAGGTCGGGACTCAGTGCTGGCCAAGGTAATGTGGTGATGTTCTGTTGTTGGAGGTAACCTGTAACGATCCTGGCCCTGTGACATCTTGCGTTGTCATCCTGGAAGATGAAACGGCGGCCATGACGTCGTGCGAACGGCACAACATGGACTGCCAAGATGTTGTCCCGGTAGTACTGGCCTGTAACACGCCCTGCAACAACATGTAAAGCCGTTCTTCTAGCAACAGTGATGCCTCCCCACACCATAACAGAACCACCCCCAAATCGATCATGTCTGATGACGTTAACGTCTTGGAAGCGCTCGTTTCGACGACGCCACACCCTCCTACGTCTGTCCAAAAAATCAACAGTGAACCTTGACTCATCTGAAAACATCACATTGCTCCAGCGTCGATTATCCCAGTGTTGACGATCCCTACACCAACGACGTCTTGCCTGAATGTGATGATCTCTCAAACAAGGGATCACGCGAGGACGTCGGGCGCGAAGGTGACCCCTATGCAGTCGATTCCGAATCGTCTGGCCACTCACTCTCACACCAGTGTCTGTTTGAAGACGAGCGCTGATCTGATTTGCTGTGATGACACGATTTCTCAAGGCCAAGGTACGGATAAATCGATCCTGGGCTTGAGTTGTCGCCCTTGGTCGACCTGAGCGTGGTCTGTCCTGTACAGATTGTGTATCACGGTATCTGGACCATAGCCTGCTTATGACAGACTGAGAAACATTCATCGTCCGCGCCACAACCGCCTGTGTTGTGCCGATCTGTAGCATGCCAAGGGCACGTAACCTTTCATTTTGGGTAAGCCGACGCATATCAAAATTTGTTTTCTGGTCACTAAAACAATTAAACTGATGTTTCCACCCTGGAATTCAATGCCACAATGACTGTAACATTCAAAGTCAGAGTCGTGCAAATCTTGGGTTGGACCCCCATGATGATCCCAAGCATCACCTGCATTCCATGCGGTAGCTATTGGTGCGTTTGGGCGTCACATGTAACTGGAAATGTTTCTTCTGTTAGGTTCTATAGTGACTTTTTTCGTAGTCATTTGCATATTTTAGTATTATGCCCCCAAAATCAAATATCCCCTACTTTTTTTTGAATAGTATATAATACTGTACATTAGAACAACCACTTACTGACTAAATCCATATGGATAAGACACGCAATACATAGACATTGTAAGCAATAAACAACATAAGTACTTTCAATAGATCCGGGAGGCATGATTAGCACTCACTGTGCCATACAGACTCGGCCTGCATATGTTACAGTCAATCTGTGTAATCAACCATTTCGCGTAATGACTAAACGAATCAGTCATTTCGCAAAGAGCCTTTGAGAACCAGGCAATACGTGTAATGACTGAAAATTTCAGACATTACACGAAATGACTAAAATTTCTACCTTTTTTTTACACATAATTCCTCAAATCAGTCAATATGTGTAGGCCTAACACATAAAATGACAATGTTGTCATTGTCTGATGGACATATCTGTTCATTTCAAAGGTTTTGACTTACTGTGATAAAATGTCATCCATAATCGATGGTTTTATTTTTCTAGACACTGCCAAGTCAGGTGTTAATGAATAGGCGTTTTCACAACCCTGTGGCTTCGTTTCATCCATGAATAGCCATACTTGTTAATAACGTTTCTAATCTTAAACTCTAACTCCCGACACAGAGTCCAATGGTCAAATGTTAAAACGCTATGTGAAATATCAGCAACAAGAGTACACGTCGACTACAAGAAGCCATTCAGATACGAAGACACAAACCAACAATGAACAGAGATCAAGGTTTACCCCCCCCCCCCCCCTGGGTGTATGACAATCGTATTACATAATTATTTGCAACTATGCTAAGTATAATACATTCTATTAAATCAATAATTAATATCTAATAATAATCTCATCACTATCTCTGTTTCATAATCTAAATTAGGATCACAATAATATTAAAGTAACATTTAATATTGGTTTTTAGATTTTATTTCGCTTTTCAGGGCATTAGGTTGTTTTTATTGAAATTTAATGCACTTAATAGTTTAAATCCTGCCCTTCTAATAGCCTGGGTTTTTTTTAATTTAATGGAAGGCCTCATTTCCCTTTTAATAGATGAATGATATGATTTGAATCTGAAGGAATCACTATAGCATCCGGAGTAAATATTACTCAATGATTTAATTACCCGGCCTTTAGGGGACCATTGATGGTTTGTAGAATCTTTGTTCTAATGGTGTTTGTATTGAATTGAAATCATGTTAAATCTTTATGCATGTATTAACATTTTTCATTACAATATTAATTATATTTAATCTTTTGTCAGGGTGTTGTTTATCTAAAAACCTGATAAAATCATTGTCAATGCTTCACAACAAGTTATCCATTAATCAATGTGTTTTATTTTCAGGTAAAGTGGTATATGTCATATCGGATGGTGTCATTAGCATTACCCTTATCAACCTTGATCACTCTTGATAATTACATTACTTTAATTAAATTAGATTTTCCTCAAGGTAATTCGAAAGGTGTCTGTGGTTGGTCAGCATTAACCAAGTATTTATAACGGATATCATGTTATAAATGTACTCGAACGAAGAACTTTTAGACGATTTTCAAAGTAACGGATATCATGGTATAAATGTATACTCTTCAAAAA